CCTACCCCATTGCTTCTCAGACCATAACAAAGACACATCCCTCATAACCAGCCAGCCCTCAGGGAAGAGGTGGTCTTGTCGTGTTCAGGGCAGGGGAGTAGCATGAGTTCTCCTAGGCTATGGAGGATGGGGGGGGGGGAGAATATCCTGACCCCTAATCAGCAGAATGGGCTGAAAGCATCCTGGAGGAAATTTTAATGGAGCCCCACTGCCCCCTGGAGGTCCCACTGCATGGAAAGTTGCTTGGGCCTTTAAATGTCTTGTTTCCCCAGCCTCTTGCCATTTGCCAACCCTATTTGCACCAGCAGCCTTGTACGGCCCCAGGGAGTAATACAAGCACCCTCCTGCATAGGAGCATCATTCCAGAGTCAGTGCTTTAAGGATGGGGGACAGCCCTGGCATCTCGGTAAGCTTCTCCTTATACCTCGGATCTATTGATGCTCAAGGGGCCCTTCTACAAAGTCCCTGACATTCTGCTAGAGCCCGCACTGGGAGGGGAACTAGATCCCATAGAGGTGGAACGAGGTCCAAGATAAAAACTGGCAGGAAAGGGCAAGAGTGTGAAAGGGGCAGACAGGGGAAGGGAAAAGGACAGAGGGTGAGGGCAGAGAGAGGAAGAAAGCAGGAAGGAAAGTAGGATCTGCAGGAGGCAGGGGAGAGCAGCAGTTGGTGGTAGGTCCAAGCTGCTAGGAGAGTGAGAGAATTAACAACCACATAGGAAATACTATAGTGTAAGTGCTGGGATTGCAGCCCAGGAACTTACTGGCTGCTAGGTCACCAGTGCAATAAATATTTCAATGACCAGTGATCTGTCCATGTTGCAACCCCTCTGTGACTTAGTGAATGGTCTTTGAATGTTACAGACTCCCCCAAAGCTCATCACTCTGTATCCATCCTGGTCATGGGCACCTCCATCATAGGCCACCCAGGGCCACAGACATAATCAATCAATGGATCTGCATTCTAAGTCTTACCAGCTTGGTAGAACCAGTCAGAATTTGTCTTGGACTCACTGATATAGACTTTGAGAGCTCAGAGTCACAGCCATCACCCTATGATGGCAATTGGACTTTAGTGGAGGTGCTGTGTGTTTCTTTAATAGAGAAAGTGCTCAGTGAAAATAGGGAAATCTTTTGTGGGGAAAGGAAAGGGGTGTGGGGATGGATATATTGGTACCCACGCAATTCTTTGAGTTGGGAAGAAAGTGTTAAACTTGTATTGACTCTCTATGTAGTGTATGTGTATGGAGCAGGAGAGTATGGAAGGAGAGAAGAGGAAGAGATTACTGGTCTAAATCATAGACCGCATGATTCTGCTTGGCTCAATGCTGACCTCTTCTGGCCATTTGTGGGAAGAACAAGGATGGGCTGAGGAAAGCACGCGTTGTGGCCCTCTGGGCTGGGACTCTGCAAGGCTAATGTTGGGATGGGCACTATGGGAAGGAAGAAGTCTGAGCACTGTCTGTGCTTCTGAGCTCCTCTGGCCTCTGTGCTCTGGGCCTAATCCCAGAGAGGCCTTGGGGAAAGGAAAGGGGAAGATCAGGAATTCTTTGAGTCCCCAGCCTCCCACTCTGTGTATAGCTAGGATGAATAAGGCTCCCTCCAACCCCCATGGGTCTCCAGGTCAATCCCAGGGTCAAGAAGGCCTTTCTCAAACAGTCAGAACTGTTACACCACTGCTCCTCTTTAGGGCCCTGAGGGTCACAGAGGGGACTCACAGGAGAGAATGTCAGAAGGCAACCTGCTATATACTCCAACAGGGTCCTAGAATCCCACCCTGTTTAGATGACCTTGGACAAGTCAGTTTCTGCCTGCAATTTGGGGTGTATGTGTGTGAAAGGGAATATCCTTCATCTCAGGCAACATTTATATCCAAGTTTCCTTAAGGCACCTAGAATCTTAGAATGTAAGAGGCAGAAAGGAACCCAAGGGAGCATTATTGTCTCTGTCCACCTGACTTTGTCAGAGGTTCTCTCCTCATCTTTCAGCTCTTTTCCCCAATGATATCAGAGCTTCTGAGCTCCATGAAATCTGTCCTTGTTTCACGAAATCTCTGTTTGCTTCAGGGGCACAATGTGTGGCTGAGCTTATGGAACTCCAGATGTTGAGGGGCCCAGCTATTTATATAGTATAACATTCATTGATGTCCAAAAAGGTTTTCTGCTTCTTTTATTTTTCTATTCTTTACAACAAGAAGCTCTGAAAAGCTACTGTCTTGAAGAAAAGGATAAAACCAAGAGCCTGCTGTCAATGATAAAGACACTTTCTAGTCCCCTCATCCCATTATAGCAGAACCAAGGCCTAGGGTGTTGAGAGCAAAGAGGTCCCCCATTGCGACCTCAAGCAAGGTATTTCCCCCTTCTGGATCTTTTTTCTCATATGTGATAGGAGGCAGATGGATTAGATAGTCTCTAAGGACACTTCTAGCCCTAATGAGCCATGAACTCTATGAATCTCCATCACTCCTATAGAGTTGGTCCCCTAACCTTCCAGAAGTGTTTGTGAAGGTTCTGAGGCTGAGAGGGTCATGGCCCCTAAAGGAATGGACACACATGGACTTGGGGGACTGCTCCTGGTCTAACTAGGAGGCAGGCACTGGGCTTGATTGGCAGCTCCTAGGGGCTGAGAAAGCCTCCAGCACATTGGTGCAGGAGGTGGAATTTCTTTCATAGCTGGTGGTATGGCCTGGACTCTCTCCCCTTCCGAAGACGCTCTTTCTGAGTTCTCCACTCCTCTCCCTCCCACCCTCCCATACTTATATCCTGTGTCCTATCTTTGTTCTCTTCTGACTGTCAGCTAATCCCTCCTAAAGTGCTAACTGATAACTAAGGTGTTAATGGCTAATAAGGAAGCTTTAGTGGAAGGAGCATGGACTGGTCATCAGGAGCCCTGGGCTTGTGATCCCAGACCTGCCGCTAACCTGCTGCATGATCTCAGTGAAATCCCTTCTCTTCCTTGGGATAGAGTTTTCTCTCCCATAACATGAAGGGGTTGGGCTGGATGTCACTAAGCCCCTTCCATCTCTGACATTCTATGTTCTATGTTCTAAGGTCCCTTTCAGTTCTAACATTCTAAGTTCTAGGTTCTGAAGTCCCCTCTAATTTCTGTTCTATTTCTCGTTCTCCCAAGAGTATTTACTTCTTAATACAAAGGCCTGAAGAAGCAGAAGAGCCTTCTAGGCCCAAAGGAATGAAGTCATAATGATAGGATCAGTGGAACTGATTTATTTCGTCAAGGGATCCTAGGCTGGCACCCCCACAAGAATACTGGATTTAGAATCAGAGTCTAGGTTCAGACCCTAATTCTAGCACTTGTGATCTGTGTGACCACGGACAAGTCATTTAACTGAAACCAAATTTCAGTTTTCACATCTGTAAAATGGGGAAAATAATAGTACTTTGCCCCACAGGATTGTTATGAGGCTCAAATCAGATAATGTATGTAAAGCGCTTTGTAAACCTTAAAGCGCTGTATAAATGTCAGCTGTTATAATAATAATATTTATTATTGTTGTCATTTCCCCTTTCTGGGACACAGTTTCCTGTTCTATAAAATGAGAGAGTTGTACATCTCTAAGGTCCCCTCTAGGTCTAAATCTATGATCTGTGAAAATCTCCCTACCTAATTGTCTACCCTCTCTATTTTCTTGAGATCTAGGGCCCATGTAGGGGACTTCCTTATTGGGAAGAGCCCATGACTACCTTATTACCCCCAATCCATCCCTATTTTAATCCCAGGCTTCTTCTGCACCTGATGCAGTCTCCTGACAGGGTTATGGAAAGTGTGCATGTGTTTGTGTTAGGAGGGGATGGGTTGTAGTCTAGAATTCATAAGTGGGATTGGAGTTGGTGGCCTGGTCCTACAGGGAAGAGAGGTTCTCTGACCTGATCCCTCTGCTCCCTATAGCCACCAGGGTTCTGGTCATAATAAACAAGTTAGACACCTGGAAATAGCTAGAGGGAGGAAGGGACAGGAAGGAGGATTGATGGAGCAGGAAAGCAGGCAGGAAAGAATCCAAGCCTCTGTAGGAACCTCAAGAGTATTGGACCTGCCTTGGGACAGAGGCTTAAGATAGGTTCTCATGACCTCACCCTGCCTCCATGGAGCTGAGTAGAGGGTACCCCAGCCTCCCCACTTTGACAAGGAAAGCTCATCCTGCATCTTAACCTGCTCTGTTCTTTCCCTCCTTTACCAGAAAGCAGTTATGGCTGCTTCCTCCACATCGAAATGTTAACTTTTCAGCTATGCGAGGTCAAGTCGCTGATTCTCTCTGGGCCTCAGTTTCCTCCTCTGTAAATTGAATGGGTTGGACTTAATGATCTCCAAGGATCCTTCCAGCTCTGACATTCTATCAGGTGAGAGGGAGGTGCCCTGTGAACCCAGATCAAAGTCCCTTTGAATCCCTCAGATCTATGACTGCTGAAGGTCCATGCCTGGTGAGGGTCTGTTCCCATTGGGATCAGTTGGACTTGTAGGGTTTATACAAAGGGGGAGAGAGACACTCATGACCAAGCAGAGTAGGGCTTGAAGTTGGCCGGTGATGTTTCCTGATCCTTTGTCCTGGACGGCTGAAATAAGTCTTTTGTCTTGGCCCTCTGGAGATGATGTCTGTTCCTTAGCTACAGCCCCTGAGGTTGCAGCCAGCATGGGGAGCAGAGTGGGCTTCTTCCTGTGGTTGTCTGGAACATCAGGAAGGATGCTGGTGGGCTTCCCGAAGGATCTGAAACTCTCTAGGGTGTTGTCAAAGATCAACTCTGAAGTATGTAAACTTATTTGTTTCTGTTGAGAAAGAAGGGGAGGAACTGGAGAAAGAAAGGAGAGAGGAAGGTAGTAAAAGAAAGAAGGAAATAAGTAGATGGAAGGAAGAAAAAAGAAGAGAAGGAAGGGAACATGAAGGAGGCAGGCAGAAAGAATATAAGGAAGAAGAGGGATGATAGAGAGAAGAAATGAAATAGAGTGGAAAGTGAATAAATGCGGAAGAAAGGAATGAGAAGAAAAAGGAAGGAGAGAAAGAAAAGAAAACAAGGGAAGATAGGAAGGGGAAGGAAAAAAAGGAGAAAAGAAGAATGAAAAGTGTTCAGTTTTCCCTGGATGGAAAGGGCCAGGTGAGCGGGGAGTCACTGATGGGTGGTTGAGTCACTGCTGTCCCTTTCTTTTCTCTGGCCCAGATGTCCTTGTGCCAGGCGGGGGTGGCATTCACTGGGAACGCTCCATCTTTCGCTCTTTCCGATGCCTCCTTTCCTTCCTCCCCCGCTTTCGGGTCAGGTTTTTCTCTGAAACAGGATCACAGAACACCATTTCACTCTTTGAATGGCATGCATGTAGATAATAGTTCCTTATAATGCTTTATGATTTACAAACTGTATCACATCCCTTTTTGGTGTAATGGAAAGAGAACAAGACTTGGAGTCAGAAGACCTGGGTTCGAATCTTAGCTCTGTTACTCTTTCCCTGTGTGATCACACACAGTCCCTGAACCTCTCTGTGCCCCAGTAAAATGGGGAGATCAGATCATTCCCTTCTAGCTATGATTTCTGAGAGCTGTAGAGAAGGGTAGAAGGAAATATATTGAAAGTGGATTCTGAAAGTATCTGAGAGCCTGGAAGCCAGAGGAGAAGGAGAATATTACACCATAGGAATTGTCTAGTTCGATCTCCTCATATTATAGATGAAGAAACTTGAGTCTTTCCATAGACAGATGATTTGGGAGGCACGGATGAAAGGTCATTTTACCCTCCCACAAGACACCTGTCAGAGATAGGACCCCAGGCTAAATGGGCCGTGGGGCTGGCTGAGGGCATTTATGATAACTTTGGGTAAGCAAATCACTTTCTCTTTTTAGGTTTCACTTTCTTCCTCTGTAAAATGAGAGTTAGAGTAGACGACCTCTAGGGCCTCTTCTGGCTCTAACCTGTGGTCTTTGTCATAAGGTCTCTTCTACCTCTGTTATCCCTTCCACACCTTACATTCGGTGTTAGGTTCCTTCCAGCTCTCACATTCCGTGTTCTAAGGTCCCTTCTACATTTAACATTCCATGTTCTAAGGTCCCTTCCAATCTAACATTCTATGTTCTAAGGTCCCTTTAAGACCTTACAGACCCTAAGACCCTTTAAGACCCTCCAATGTTCTTAAGCTTTTATTGAATAAAGTGAGACATACCTCATTTCTACTCAAAACTCACCTCTGTCCCTCCCCAAAACACAGAGCCACTTTTCCAAAACTACTTTACCTCTGGTCAGGGCCAGGAATTGGGGGTGGGATGGGAAAATATCCTCCTTTGGGATCTGACTTCACTTATGGACCTAATGCCTTTGTGTCTGTATCCCCTGACTGTATTTCTGAGGTCTGTAAATAATTCTCCTTTGCTCTGTCTCCCACTCTGCCAGTCTAGACAAACGCCTCCAGTGCTCCTGTTCCCACCCTGGCTACTGTTCTTGGCACAGAGAGGAGGGCTGTCTCCCCACCCTTAGCTTTTATGATCTGAGACATGGAAACTTCCTTTAAAAATCCAGGAATCCCACTTTGAGGGAAAGGAGCCTTGGAGGACATAAGTGCCAGCAGACACAACCAAGGACGGAGAGGTCCCCGGGGGACGCAGCTCAGTCCGGGGATTGATCCAGCCGCTATCAGTTCAACCACATGGGAGTGTCTCCAAGGGGCTGATGCCACGCATAAGCATTTCCTTCCCCCAAAAGAAACACACACGGAAGAGCGCAGTACAGTGGACGTACCACTCAACTGGGAGCCGAGACTCGGCTAGAATTTGCTATACAACCGCGGACAAATCACTTTAATTCTCATTTTCCCATTAGGCAGCTAGGTGGCGCAGTGGAGAATGCTGCATTCGAGTCATGAAGACCTAAGTTCAAACCCAGCCTTAGACACTTAGTAGCTGTGTGACCCTGGACTTAACCAGTTTGCCTCGGTTTCTTCAACTGTAAAATGGGGATGATAATAACACCTACCTCACAGGGTTGTTCTATGGATTAAATGAAATAAAGTCCTTAGCACAATGCCTGGCACACAGTAGGTGCTATATAAATGTTTATTCCTCTTCTTCCATTTTTAAAATGAGGAGGTTGAACCATGGTAATAATGTTATACAGCATTTATATAGTAATATATATGATAATAATGATATGTAGCATATATAGTAATAATAAAATATAGTATTTATATGGTGCTTTAAGATTAGTCAAGTGCTTTACCTATATTATTTGTTTCTCATGCCAACTCTAGGACGGAGGTATAAATTACCCTCATTTTACAGAAGAGGAAGCTGAGGCTGAGAGTGGTTAAGAGACTTGCCTAGGGTCACACAGCTATTAAAGGTCGGCAGCAGGATTCAAACTCAAGTCTTCCTAACTCCAGGCCCAGGGCCCTCTCCACTGTGCCTCCTAGCTACTCACCTAGTAGAAAAAGCACTTTCAGAGAACCTGGATTCAACTGCTAGGCTAACAAATTAACTCTGTGACTTTGGAGAGGGCATTGAAGGCCTCAGCCTCAATTTCCTCATCTAGAAAATGATGAGGTAAGACTAGATTATCTCTAATGCACCTTTCACCTCTCATCCCTGTGATAAATAATCTGAATTTGGAGCCCTTTCCTTTCTATTCTGACATCTTATTTTTTTAAGGCTCCTTCGTCTGTGGTTTGAATTGAGGCTAGCAACCAAGGGACAAAAAGTAGCTCATATGTAGCCTTGGTCAAGACATTTAACCTCTCTGAGCCTCAGTTTCTTCTTCTGTAAAATAAGGCAATTAAGCTAATTCCTTCTAAAATCTCTTCATAGCTTTAAATCCTGAGAGCAATTCCCATTTCTATAAGACAAACGACTTTCCTCACACCAGCCCTGTGAGGTAACACGAGTATTATTTATAGAAAACGAAACTGAGGCATGGAAAAATGAAGGGATTTGCCCAAGGTCATGGGGCAAGTTAATGTCAGAGTAAGGGTTAGAATTCTCATCTCTTGCCTGTGATTCCAGGGTTCTTTCTGTTTCCACCCCTAACTTTACCTCATTAGACAGAGGATTTTCCCAAAGGAAGCATGCATCCTAATTTTCAGTTTAATGAGTTTTTCTCCTTCCTACCCCAAACCTGCATATCTCCAAGCCATGCCACCTGAGCGCCAGCCTCCACCTTTGTCCAGAAAGTCCCACCCTCTAATCCTGGGCTCTGACCGGGGAGGTTCGCCTCATCTTGCGCTGTCTCAGGCCCACCATGCTACTTGCCTATCATCTCCAAGCCATGCTACTAGATGAAGGATTCATACTCCTCCTCTTCCTACCCCCAACCTTTCCCTCCATTTTCCAGCTCTACCTCTGAGAACAGCGATTAATCCAACACTATCATTCCCGAAAGCACACATCAATTGACTTCACTATGACTCCAATCACCATTCACTCCAATTAACCTTTGAAGAACTCTCCTCCCCTCGATGTATTATCTCACTTGAAGGCAGGAGCTGTCCCTCTTGCTTGTGTTTGTGTTCCTGACAGCACATGGCCTGGCACATACGTACTAAACTCTTGTAAGTGCTTATTCATCCATTCGTCCCTTCAAAGCCGCTCCCTTCACCTTTCCCGGATGAGTCTAATTAATATATGCATGGTATGGTGTGGTGTCAAAGAAAGACTTTACGTCTTCATTATCTGGGGACCGGGTCATAATCATCATCAAAGAATTCATGCTCAAGCCTTAGTTATCCTTAATAAGCCTTAGTTGGGGCGGTCCTTGGACAGAAGATACAATCTGAATCTGGGATCATACTGAAATCTTTTCCAGCTTAATAGGACCTGTCATAGCTTCAATTCCACTGACATTTGAGAAGTCTTTAAGAACCCAAGGCCATCTTCAAGCCACAGGGAAGTATCAGAAAAGGATAAGAACCATAATTCTATTAGGATGGTCCCTTATGGTTTATGAAGTGTTTGATATACAATGTCTCATTTGATTTCTGTAGGGACAACAGCTTAACTCAGAAGAAGTCAGTCTTGGAATGGTAGAATTCTGGCCTCCATGGCTGGCAAGAGGGACATTTTCAGGCAGGAGGTCCCCCCAACACCTATTGCATCCCACTAGAGATTCAGCTGTTTCTTCTGCACATCTACTTCTACCTCAAAGGGCAGGGACTTAGCCAGTCCCACAGAAACATCTCTGGTTCCTTCTTCCATCACCCCAAAAGAACCGACCAGGCCAAGCCTTTCAGCATGTGTGATATCCTGAAGCTCAACCCCTTCTCCTGCAGAGATGGGATCTGCAGTCAAGAATAGCTGGGTTCAAATCCCATCTCAGATACCAGCTAGCTGTGTGACTCTAAGCAAGTCACTTAACCCCTCTCTGCCTCAGTTTCCTCATCTGTAAAATGAGCTAGAGAAGGAAAAACGGCAAACTGTTCCAGTATCTTTGCCAAGAAAACCCCAAATGGGATCATGAACAGTTGGACACAGCTGAAATGATTGAACAATAAATAACAAAAAAGGACTGGGAATGGACTTGTGATTTCACCCATATAGGAAACTCCCAGATAAGGAACTCAACCCATCACTAGAGGTGTGCATCTCTGCTATTTGGAGTCTCAGAGAACTGGTCTAGAGCATTGAGTAGCCGAGTGACTTGCTCAAGGTCACATAGCCTCCCTCAGAGGGAGGACTTGAACCCAGGTCTTCATCTTTTCAAGGCCAGCTCTTTCTCTACCACACCATATAAGAGGTTCTTCATAATTCCTTGGGGGCTGCTTGATTGTCACCAGAAGAATTGATTCTTCTGTTCTCTGCCTTGGTCAGAACCCAACAGGAGGATTGTGACCAGTTCTCTGGGCACATTTTTTTAAATTTATTTTTTAAGGCAATTGGAGTTAAATGACTTGCCCAGGGTCACACAGCTAGTAAGCGTCAAATATTTGGTCTGAGGCTGGATTTGAACTCAGGTACTCCTGACCTCAGGGTCGGTGTTCTATCCACTGCACCGCCTAGTTGTCCCTCTGGGCACATTTTAGGAAGGCCCTGCAGAAACTGGAGCTGTCCAAAGGAGGGCAACTGGAAAGATGAGAGGACTAGAGGCTAAGCTGTGGGAAGATCAAAGGAACAGAAAAGTGGGGTGGGGTTGGGCAGGAAACCTAGTTACTGTATTAAGTATCTGAAGAGCCGTTGTGGGGAGGAGGGATGAGATGGGTTCTGCTTGGCCTTTGAGGGTAGAATTAGGAGCAATGAGTGCAAGTAATGGGGAGCCAGATTTCAGGGTGGTGGAACACATAAGCATGTGCTTCCTCCCCCAAAGAGTTCATGATTTTCAAGGAGAGCCTAGAGGTCAAAACTTAGCTCAAAGGATTGAAGTGCTAAAAGGGAGCTCCAATGCCCTTCTGACCACTCCACAGGTAGCTGCCTCCACATGAGGTGGGTTATCCTGATCTATCAGGAGAGGGCCAGGGGTGCAGAGCCACCTCCCCTACCCCACCACCCCTCACCCCCAAACCAAGAAAGAGCTAGTGACTTTTTGCTTGACATTCAAGGCCTTCCACAGTCTGGTGCTACCTTCCCTTTCCAGACTAATGTGACTTCTCTTTACATACTCTGTGCTAAAGCTAACCTGCACTGGAGTCTTTCCCCAACATATTCTTAGTCCTTTCTTCCTCCTTACTTGCCTTTGTTTATTTTGTTCTTCCTGTTCAGAATCTCCTTCTTCCTTGTCCAGGACTACTGAATTTCTATCCATCCTTTAAAGCTCAGCTCAAAGGCCATTTCCTCCCAGAAGTCTTCCCTGATTTCTGCAGCTGCTAATTACTGACCCATTCACACCGCATATGGTACAGTGCTCTGTACCTTCTTGATATACTCACATCATTTTATTTTTCTGTCCTAGCTGTCCATTTGCATTTTATCTCCCTCACGAACTCTGAGCACTCTGAGGGAAGTCTATGCATCTTATCCAAACCTTCTATCTCTCCCAGAACCTAGCATAGGGTTCTGCATTCAGTAGGTACTTGATAAAGATTTGTTGATGGGGGACAGTAGTCCCAGCTCCCCCGGCTGAGTCCTCTTGTGGATCCAAATAGGCCTAACAAGGTGGCTAATAGGAAAGAGGGAGGAGGAATCAGGTTCTAACTCAGGCCAGAGTCACTGAATTTCTTTGGGGGCTTCCTCTGAGTCAGAATTGGGTATATAGAGCTTAGAGCTAGAAGACATCTAGTTCAATATCTCTCCCCCCCCCCCAACACACACAACTCCTTTATATATATAAGGAAACAAGTCTAGAAAAGTTAAATGACTTGACCAGGGCATCACAGCAAGTGAATGGCACAGTCAGGATTCCAATCCAGGTTTTCTGGTCCCAAAGACAGTGCTCTTTCCAGTGTACCTTACCGTCTCCCTCCCTTATCCTCATCTCCAGCCACTACAAGTTTTGGAGCCAAGAAAGCTGGTGAGTTGGAGGTCTGTCACTGTCCAGGATGTGCAAGGGAAATCAGCTTCTGCTGCCTCCTCAGATCACATCTGGACACATAGGCACAAGCATGGGCACACTCACAAACCCTTCCCACCCTCCACGGACTGTCTACTGGGGAGTCCTACATTCCTCCTCTTTTGCTCACATACTGCTGTCTTAATGACCGAGCAGGGAGGAGGAGGAGCTGTGGTGAAGGGAGAGAAGTTTCCCCTTAATTGGTGCCAGCTGCCACCATGTTTCTAGTTAGTTCAAACTTCCAATGGTCCTTGTCACTCGGATGCCCTCAGGTGGTGCTATTCTGAGCCACAGTCAGAGAGGAATGACTTGATGTCTCCTCCATACATATGCCCATGTGCACACACATGGATACAGATATGCTCACACATGCAATGAGCCTTGTACTCCTAAACTCTTGAGGCCTCTTGATTGCCCTCTGCCTAGATGGTTTTATCAGGGTGGGGGTAGGGGTAGGGTGGCCACGCACATGCCACAGCTTCTTGGAGCCACAGGTAAGAGTGGGACATACTATATTTCTGACCAAGAGCTTGTCATGTCTAAGTTTTCAAGTGTGGCCCAGAAATTGAAACCCCATCCTCAAACACCATTTCTATATCCCCAAACAGATTTTTTTTCTTCTGTAGCCCTTGCCTTCAGTCTGCAGCAGTGAGGAAAACATTACCTGTTCCCCCTCCATTTCTGGGTCAAGACTTTATAATTTTTAGCAATGCTGTCTAGAATCCTTCTGGTCATATCATTTGTGGCTGTGTCAATCACCAGCAGTGACTGAAGTAGTCAACATGTTGGACAAGCCTTGGGACCTTCCTCCATTGACCCATAAGCAATATGGGTGTATGGGGTGTTCAGGGAGGCCTAGCACCTCTGGTGTGAGGGCTTGCTGAGACCCTCTCAGGGCTGCCCATTCACCTTTGGTGTCCACCGGCACCCAACTCTCACCTGTGGCTCCAAGAAGCTGTAGCATTAGCAGCAGCCACAGCCCCAGTAAAATTGTCTTGGCTAAACCATGCTGAGGATAACTGACAGGCCTCAAACCCATGAGTGAGTTAGGGGAATGTCTACCCCAAGCATATGAAGACTTCCCCTGGTGGAATGGGCAGATGTGAACAATTTGTTCCAATGGCCATGAAGGCAGTGGAAGCAGGTGCTGTGGAGAGCTCAGAGCCTGGTCAGGCATCCAAGATGCTGAGGTCGTCCACTGCTTCCAGGGCCAATGCCAGTCATCTTGAATGCTGTCCTGTCACCGGACTTTGATGATCTTGGGAGAGACAGTGAGGCTGGTGACTTTGTACAATTCTGCCTCACTTAAATCCGATTCACTCACAAGTCAAGACATCACCATTATGTTATTGGTGGTCTTCAAAAGTGAAGGGTTAACAACAACAAGTAATATCCAGGACTAACCAGCTAGGTGTTGTAATGGATAGAGCACCGGGCCAGGAGTCAGGAAGACCTGAGCTCAAAGCCAGCCTTCTGCAAACACTCACCAGCTGTGTGACCCTGGGCAAGTTGTATCATCTCTGGGTGCCTCAGTTTTCTATACCTACAAAATGGGGACAATAATAGCACCTACCTCCCAAGATTGTTGTGGGGATCAAATGAGAAAATATCCACAAATCACTAAGCCCGGTGCTTGGCACATAGTAGGTGCTTAATAAATGCTTGCTTCCTTCCTTCCAGAGCCTTTCAGCGCATGTGTTATTTTTTTTTTTTAGGCAATTGGGGTTAAGTGACTTGCCCAGGGTCACACAGCTAGTGGGTGTCAAGTGTTTGGTCTAAGGCCGGTTTTGAACTCAGGTCTTTCTGACTTCAGGTCTGGTGCTCTATCCACTGCACCACCTAGCTGCCCTAGCGCATGTGTTATTGTAAAGCTGGTTGCCCCTTTCTTGCTGGGGGGGGGTCCCCCATTATAACACAGGTGTCAGGGATAGCCTAAATTCTACCATACTTTATACTCTGACCCTATTTTGGGGAGACTCCTACAGCCTAACAATGTCCTAAGTCTTTTAAATGCTTTTACCAAGGACGTTAATCCTTTCTAATATGTTTCCCGACTCAAACTCCTGCAGTTTTTCCTCTTGCTAATAAAAGGGGGTATTTGTTAGAACTATCCCAACTGAGACAATCAGGTACAAGAGTGATGTGCATTTTTCCTGGCTTCCACCTACTCATAACTAGGTCAAGCCTTTCCTTCATGTCAGCCACCCCCAACTCTTACCTAAGACGCAAACCAAGGTTCCTGCAGACCTTTTATACAGCCAGTTACCTAATTCGAGGCTATAGTGGGGTTCGTGTGGCCCAAATGTGATGCTGTGACATGGAGCTTGGAGTCAGGTTAGGGGCAGCTCTTGGGTCAAGGAGTCAGGAGATCTGGACTCCGGTCCTTGTATGCCGTTGCTGGCTCTGTGACTTCCTCTCCCTGGGCCTCAGATTCCTTACTTACAACACGAGGGAGTGGACAAGATGGTCTGCAGGGTCCTTCCCAGCTCTGACAATCTGTATTCTGAAATCTCTCCTAATAGTCTCTGATTCTCAGGCTGGCTCAGCCCCCAGTGGCCTGGCTTGTCATGGGCCCCCTCAGGTCCTCACCTCCAGGGCAATGCCTGCTGATGGGGCAGTTTCTTGACTCAGACAGGGCTTGGCAGCCTGCCGCCCCCTCCTCTCGACTGCCTCGGCTGACCTCACGCACTCGGGTCTCCAGGCCCCAGGCTGACCCGCAGGTTTTCCCGTCCTGGCTGCAGGGACTCCAGATACTCCAGGGTCCAAATTCACATTCCTCTAGATGGTGTGGGGTGGCAGTAGGAGTTGAAGGGAAGGACAAGGAGAGGAAAGGAAGAATGTAATAAATTGATAATTTATATATATGTATATGTGTATGTCTATATATATATATATATATATATATATATATATATACACTCTATAAACTGATAATTCACATTTCCAAAGAAAGACTCAAGATCAAAGATTTAAGAACCAGAATATACTTTGGAGTCCAGTTAGTCCAATCCTTCGATTTTATTTTATTTTTGTGAGGCAATTGGGGTTAAGTGACTTGCCCAGGGTCACACAGCTAGTAAGTGTCAAGTGTCTGAGACCAGATTTGAACTCAGGTCCTCCTGACTCCAGGGCCGTTACTCTATCCACTGCACCACCTAGCTGTCCCACAATCCTTTGATTTTACAAATGAGGAAGCTGAGCCCAACAGAGGTTAAATGAATCACCTAAAGTCACATGAGACAATAAGTCATAGACCCAGAATTCAAAATCAGGCTAACTCTAAAGTCAGCTCTCTTTCCACTGGACTACTGTGCCTTCCCAAAGTGTTCCTTGCAATAGTTCTGTGAGGTAGTATGGGAAAACTGAAGCTGAGAGAAGTTTAAGCGACTTGAATCACACAACTAACAAGTCTCAGAACTGATATTAGTGGTTGCTTTGTTTAATAAATAGAGACCAAATATCAAAGCCAGGAAGATCTGCAGTGTTGGGCTTGGAGTCAGGAAGACCTGAGTTCAAATCCAGTCTCAGCACTTACTAGCTGTGTGACCCTGGGCAAGTCACTTAACTTATGTGTGCCTCAGTTTCCTCATCTGTAAAATGGAGATTAATAATAGCACCTTCCTCCCAAGGTTGTTGTGATGGTCAGATGAGATAATAATTGTAAAGTGCGTAGCACGGTGTTTGAAATATAAAAGACACACAATGGCTGCCTGCCATGAGGGAAAGTCACTTAACCCTTCAGTGCTCTAGGGCTAGATCCTCTCTAAGATGCCAAATTGCAGATAAGGTGCCAACTTGTATTAGTAGAGTGAATTTCCTCACCTGGGAGTTCTCCAGGCCAGTGAAATTACAAGTCTAGTTTCTGTCCCTCTCAACTCTGAGTCTGTTGTTGCATTATGTTGAGTGGGGTTGGGGTCATGGTCTTCCATCACTTATCCCAGAATTTGTGACTTGAAAGGGACTTCAGTGGTATGTGGTCCAGCCCACACATGAAAGGAATTCCCACTAAGACATACACAAGTGGTCATCCACCCTTGCCTTGCAAGCTTTCCCTCCCAAGGAATGAAAGACCATCACCTCTCCAGGCAACTTATTATACTTTGGGGTATCTACAATGGTTTTTCCTAGTGTCAGGCCTAAATTCATTTCCTCAACTTCTACCCATTTCTTCTGCTTCTGCCTTATGAGACTAAGCAGAAAGATCTTTTCTCCATTTGATGGCCATTCAAATACTTGAAGTTAGCTATCATGTCCCTAAGTCCTCTCTCTTCTACAGGGTAAACCAGATCCTAGTTCCTTCAATAGATGATTCATAACCATTATTAATGATCAAAATAATTATAACTTTATTCATAAGAATCAAGCATTGTTCTTTAGGTTCAAAATACTTTTCCTTCTATTGCCCCATCAGATTGCTACAACAGTCCTGGTAAGAAGAGAGATTTTCCCCTTATTCATAGAGGAGGAAACTGAGGCTCAGGAAAAAAAGAGATTTATCTGAGACCACCACAGAATTAGATGGTAGGGTGGAGTCTTGGTCCCAGGTCATTAAGAAAAAAATAGACTGGGGTAGGGGGAGGTTGAGGCAGTGGCCTCTGGCTTCTGGCTTACCTTGGCATTCCCACGTGCTCTGGTGGGCAATGGTGCCTGGTGGGCAGGTGGAAGCACACTTCCCCTTGTGCAAAAAAAACCTTCTTTTGCACCGAATGCAGAAGTCTTGGCTGAAACAGCTCTCACAGGTGGACCCGCATTCTGTAACACAGCAACAGCTTCTGCCATGAGGAACAGTAGGGTAGAAGACCCCTCACCGCCACCCAGTAGCCATCAGGAGCAGAAGAAGGGCATGCTATTCAGCAGGGCAAAACACAATAATATGGGTCCTAAATCCTTACCATGGAATCGAAGAATAATGATAATTAACTTTTATATATCACTGTAAGGTTTACAAAGTTCTTTACACATATTATCTTTTTTGAGTTTTACAACAACCCTGTGAACACGCCATTAGTATCTCTATTTTACAGTTGAGGAAAGTGAGGCTGACAGGTTAAGTGACTAACTCTGTGATCTTGGGCCTGAGTTCCCACAACTGCAAAGTTAGGGCAGCAGACTCAATGACATCTAAGGTTCTTCTAGCCTCTAAATCTATGATCCTATAATTTGCCCAGGGTTGCATAACTCCAAAGTGTCTGAATAAGATAGGATTTGAACTGAGGTCTTCCTGAACACAAGTCCTCTCTACTACACTTCATTATTGCTTCTAAGTCAAAAGATTGTCAAGCTGAATGGAACCTTAGGAATCCTCTAATCCAATTGCCTCATTTAATAGGAGAACCTCAGGCCAAGAGAAAGAAAAGGACTTTCTCAAGACCACACAATAGGGTGAATTTGGACTTGAAAATCCAGCCCGTAAGTTTTTCCTGTGTGCTGCACTGACACCTTCATTCCCTATGAGCTGAAGCTTAAGGCAAAGATGATGCCCTTGTTTGAGTTGAGATCAAGTGAGTGACTTTACTAAGGTCACAAAGTGAGCCTGGAACCAAATCCCCATCTCTGCATTCCCAGGTCAATTTGCTACCTACTCGCTTTTGTGAACAGGGTCATGTCAGGGAGTATCAGGGAGGAAGGGGGGAAAAACCCTTCTGGGTCTGGGGGAAGAAGGATGGTGCGGGGTAGATGTTCTTGGCCACAAGCCTCACATACTTTTGCATCTGTTGACTTCATGGCTACGCACACCAAAGTAGCCGTGGGGACAGTCGTGCACACATTTCCCGTACTGACGGATGCCATCTCGGCGGATATGGAGAAAAAGTCTTGGCTGACAGGTGGAACAGCCATTTTCCTCTGAGCAGATCAGACAGCCGGTGCAATTCTCCTTCAGCCCAACCCCTACTGTAGCGAGAACCAAGGGGTAGGTGAGAGAAAAGAGAATCAGGGATGTCCAGACTCGATAGCAACATGTGCGCTCAGTAAAAGCCGTGTCCTCTCTTCCCCTGCCATGCAAGGATACAGAATTAAATAAACATCTTTTATCAAAATATACGCAGATCATAAGATCACAACTGTATGGGAATGGAGAAAAAGAAACACAGTCACACCAATGAGACAGGATGCTTTTCCTTGTCTCATTAAGGTGGTAGCTTACAAACACCAGCAGCAGCCATGCCTTGATGCTGGTATGACCAAGCCTTAGCTTTAGCTAAGTTATTTTTTTAAAAGGCAAGTTATTTTTAAAAAGAAACCTTGCTACATTCTGTAAATGAGTTATTGCCAGTATTGTGGGATCCACAGTGTTGGAATGTCTTAACTTATTGTTCACTTATATGAGTTGGTGTGTCTCTCTCAGAAAGTCCCCATTCAGGCACTGGTTCAGAGAGCCATGACTGGTATATTGTTCCATGCCTGAATGAAAGAAGGTGTCGTGCTCTGTGAGCAAGGCAGAATTGTAGTAGTTCAAAAGTAATGTGAGATGTCCAAATTTAGAGATATCTCCTCTCCAAATGTTCATACAGACTATTTGTGCCCGACCTGTGGGAGAGGTTTCCAAGCTCATATAGGTCTGATCAGCCACGTTTGAACACATTCTATCTTGACCCCAACGTAGTGGTATCATTTTGGTCCTCTTCAACTATGAAGGACCACAACCATTGTTCCTAGGAAGAAAAAAAGATCCCTTGGAAGGGACTGGTTGGTTTGTGTTTACCTTTGAGCAGTAGAAAGAAAATCGGGAGTCTGAATTGGTCATATTAGGAAGAGCAGCTATTGATGATACAGCCTGAATTTAGACAAAGACATCTTGGCTTTTGTCTGAGAGAATAGTTGCAAATTAACTTTGAGGTATCCCTGTCTCTGTCCTTTACCTATAACACTTGGCAAGTAAGTAAGGAGAGAGAGAAAGACAGAGAGACAGAGACAGAGAGTTTGAGTCCAGCAGGAAAAGAAGTCTATGGCATACTAAAATACAATGCTAAGGAAATAATTATCAACATTATCATAATTCCAATCCATTTTTCATGGTGCTCTACAGTTAGCAAAGGGCTATGATCTTATATGACTCTGTTAGAGCTGATCAAATGCTTTTTCCAGGTAAATCTAATGTGATGCACATTTTCTTTGCATAGAAACTACTTGGCCATAGGTCCAGAACTCTCCAAGTGATGATTGAGGCAGGTACTGTAAGTTTCTCTGCTTCCACTTGCTTCCAAGACACTGCTACCCGTATGTCCTCTCTCACCACAGACTCAGTACATTTAAACTGCTAGACTCATAGAAAGTCAGAAGTAAAGGGACTCTTAGAACATAAAATTTAAGAAATAGAAGGAGTCTTACTTAAAACACAGAACATTGAAGGTCAGACCTGGAAAAAAATACATATATATATATATATATATATATACACATAATATATATAACATATACAATATATATACAATATAAATATATATGTATATATATTCACACACAAATAAATATATGTGTGTGTAAAATAAAATATATATATATATGTGTGTGTGTGTGTGTGTGTGTGTATACACAAATTGAAAGGAATGTCAGAGCTGAGAGAGGCCTTAGAACATAGAATATCAGAGTTGGAAAGGGCCTTAGAACATAGAATATCAGAGTTAGAAAGGGCCTTAGAATATATGATGTCAGAGCTGAGAGGCACCTTAGAACATAGAATGTTAGAACTGGGAAGGACCTTAGAACATAGAATGTCAGAACTAGAAGGCACCTTAGAATGCAAAATGTTAGAACTGGGAAGGACCGTAGAACATAGAATGTCAGAACTAGAAGGGACCTTAGAAGATAGAATGTCAGAGCTAGAAGGGACCTTAGAACATAGAATGTCAGAGCTAGAAGGGACCTTAGAAGATAGAATGTCAGAGCTAGAAGGGACCTTAGAACACAGAATGTTAGAACTGGGAAGGACCTTAGAACATAGAATGTCAGAGCTAGAAGGGACCTTAGAAGATAGAATGTCAGAGCTAGAAGGGACCTTAGAACATAGAATGTTAGAAGTGGGAGGGACCTTAGAACATAGAATGCCAGGGCTGGGAGGGGCCTTGGAGAAGATCTAGTCTAACCCCCTCATTTTATCAATAGGAAGTTGAGGTCCAGAGCGGAAAGGAGACCTGCTGAAGATCACATGGTGTATTGATAACAAAGCTGGGAGTAGAATTAGGCCTTCAGACTTTCAGGTCTCTTCCCACTACACCCTATCCCTCTTCCCTGAGTCACTGAAGGAGGGGGAAACACAGGCCTGGCACAATTGTTCCTCTACCTTTTGTTTCACTCTAGGGATAATTTTATCTCTAATGTGAGAGGTTGACTTAAATACCAATAGATCAGTGACAGCTGGGTTGCACAGTGATTACAGCGTTGGGCCTGAAGTGAGGAAGACTTGAGTTCATATCTGGCCTGAGACACTTGCTAGCTGTGTGACCCTGGGCAAGTCACTTAACTTCTGTCTGCCTCAGTTTCCTCATCTGTAAAATGAGGATAACAGCACCTACCTCCCACTGTTGTTATGAGGATCAAGTGAAATAATATTGTAAAGAGCTTAGGCACGGTGCCTGGCACATAATAAGTGATTAGCAAACGCTCATTCCCTAATATGGATCTCCCTGTCCAAAACTTTGTGTGATGTGGAGATCATTTCACCTCTCTAGTCGACAAGCATTTATTAAAGCACCTACTATGTGCCAGGCACTGTGCTAAGCTTCAGTTAATTTCTGAATCTGTTCAATGAAAGGATGTGACTAGATGTTGTCTGAGGTTCCTGCCTGCTCTAACATTCTATTGTTTCTTCCAGCTCTGACATTCTGTATTCTATGTTCTAAAATCCCTTTCTTTTCAAATATTCTGACATTCTAAGGCCCTTTCCAGCTCTAACATTTTCTGTTCTAATATCCCTCCCTGACAGCTCTGATGGGCCCTGAAACGAACTTCTTGTTTGTTGGAGTGCCCTCGTGTGTTTCTACATTGTAGTATCACTTTTATTTTTTTTAAGGGCACGATATCGCTTTTAATCACAGCATCAATAAAATTTGTTAGGAAATCTTTCTCCCCTTCATGGTTATTTATTTCCCCCCTCCCCCGCTCCACTGGACTAAGCAGACTCTGAGTAATGGTGGCTCTTCTCTTCATATCATTTTTTCAAAAGCTAAGAGAATATGTTTTTTATTCTCACGCAGGCCGGAAAGTTCTCCCACGCAGACAGCTCCTCGCTGGTGAGGTGTGCTTTTAATAAGAGCCTTGTAGCTCTGATTGCAACCTCCCGGAGTGTTCTGAGGGCTGCAGATGTCATTGTGGCCCCATGAGACTCTTTTCCTTAATCTCTGATATTCACTTCAGCTCCTCTAACTTCTGCTGTTTCCCAATCAACACCATCTTTTGATAGGAAAATTACTGATTTGATCCTCTAAATTCCATCACACATTGCTTTAGAGCTGTCTTGGTACAATTTAAAGAGCCCTTGGAGTATGGTCTGGTCTATCCCAAGGGCACTGGGCCATGAATCTTAGAAACTTAGAATTTTATACATAACTCATAGAATTTTGTAATTGCACTTTAGAACCTAAAATTTTTGGATTTGAGGTTCTACAATAAAAAGACCTGGGTTCAAATCCCACCTCTGATGCTTACTACTTTTATGACTTTGGATATCTTGCTTTAACATCCCTGGGCCTCAGTTTCCTTATCTGTAAAATGAAGGAGTTGGATGAGTTGGCCTTTGAGGTCCCTTCTAGCCCTGGATTTATAAGCCGATGAACCTCAGCATCCTGGTTCCTTGGTTAGTGTTCTCACCACTACAACACACTGTCCTCTTAAAGAATAGTGCCCTATGAGGCAATAGAAAGGCAGCTGGAGATCTGGACCAGTTCTCTGTCTAAGCCTCCAAAGAGAGCTGCCTTTTTGTGATTCCAGTTCCCAGGAGAATAGAATGAATTGTCTAGGTGGCCCTAGAGAAAGTGAAGTATATCACTCAGGGGAGCTGTACTTCATACCAGCAGGAGGCCAGGCCCCTCACCTGCTATAGTCCCAAGAGCTATACTCAAATCATCCTGAATGTCAAAGATGACTTTGCTTAATATAACAGGATCTTGATGTATGGAGGCAACTGTTCCTTGGTACAGGCCATGTGAATGGAAGTCTCAGGATCAGCCCCACACAGAGATGTTTCTTCCATTTGGCCTCTCTTATGGTACCTTTCCTGGGCTCTTGTAGAGTAGTAGGGAGCGTGCTGCCAGGATATCAAGTGAAGTCATCAGCATCTCAACGGTTACAGCAAATGCAATATTCCAGGGCTAGCATAGCATATGTGGGATGAATTTTAACTCTTTGGGGACCAGCTAAAGTTAACACCAGAAGGCATTAACTGAAGACTACCTGGTGTCTGAGTATGGTGGATGCTATTACCTGGTACTGAGTTTGAACTCGGTTGATGACTGGGACATGCACAGGAAGAGCAGGCCACAGTGGCATTTGGTGGCTATTTCTATCTGGGGCTCTCAAAGTCTTTAACAATTTCCTTGGAGGCAGCTGGCTGATGCTAGAGATAGAGTGCTGGGCCTGCAGTCAGGAAGACCTGAATTCAAATCCAGCCTCAAATATGTAGTAGCTGTGTAACCCTGGGCAAATCATTTGACCTCTGTCTACCTCAGTTTCTTCAGCTGTAAAATGGGGATAAAAATAGCACCCACCTCACAGAGTTGTTATGAGGATCAAATGAGATAATATTTGTAAAAGGTGCTTAGCACATTACCTGGCATATTTTTGTTTTTTAGTCACTTTTCAGACACGTCCAACTCTTCGTGACCCTTCGTGGGTAACACTATTCTCGGAAAGGGAACTAAATGGTGGGGGTCGTATTATTCAAAGTCTATCTGATA